AATATGGTAGATCGGTCAAATATGATCAATTGGTCATATTTGTCAACTAAGTCAAATAATAATTTGTAGATCAATTTGATGATCTTTTAATAATGTTAATTTTGCAGTTAACAATGGTCTTGATTTACTTTTTCTAATATGATAGCTTTTACAGATGCAAAACCCTATTTCTCAGTTCCTGGTTCTTAGATGAGACATTTAGGATAATTATTTAGATAATCAATAACTATAGGCAAATGCCTAACCCATACTTTTATTGATTTCGAATTAGAATATATAAATTTAATAGCATCTTGGATTTTATAGAGTATTTTTGTGAAGGTTTTGTTAAAACATTCTATCATTGCAAGACCTCTATGACTATAGGATCCTACTACTCAAATTGTGATATTATGTTTCTTTATCAACTGAAAAGTCTCACCTATCCATTTAAGTCTATTATCTGTTTAAAGTAATTTAAGATATGGTAAGAGGATTATTAGGATCATCATTTTTTTTCTAAATACTCTAGCAACTTCTGAACTATTCTTCGAAATGAATAGAACTAAAGCTTATATTAGGAAACATAGTCTATTTATTATATTAAGCATTGCTATATATTTTTTATGCTTGTAATGATCATGTATAAGAAATAACAAATCACATTGCTATATGCAATTTGGGCGTGTTATTCAGCTATAGTTACATCTAGGAAGATTTTTGAGAAGAGTTTTATGTATTTGAAATATATGTTATCATTCTAAAAAATCTTAGCATTCTTTTAGACAAAAACGATTCCCTTCTTTTTTACATGTATCTTTTAAGGATTTAGGATTAGAATAATAGCCAGTTGACTGATAATAAATTTCCCATAGTATTAGATGGTTTTCAATTCTACAAGCTTCATCAAGATCAATTTGGATTATAGGAACCCTTGCTTTTTTACTCATCCTTTTTTCATCTCTCAAAAAAGATAAAACTATCTATAAAAAAAGAAGATACAATAGCGCTGATGTCTAAAAATGAAGTATATAAGAGTCGTATACAATCCTTAAAGCATAATTTATATAATAGCGAACTAGAAATATTTCAGGAGATAACTAATCTTAAAAGCCAGATAATAACCTTAGAGATAAAATCCATGATCTGGAAAAAATTGCAGAGTGTAGATTGCTATTTATAACTTTTGAGAAGATCAGATATCAGAAAAATTATCTAAGCTTCATAAAAAGATATTTCAGCTAAAAAATAGGATTATCTTATCATGACTTCATTTAGTAATACTATTAACAAGAGATTCTTTATCATCCTTATCATTCTCATCATTATCAAAGCAATTAAATCATAATCAAACTTTATCGAGCAATATAGCTTCTAGCTCATCAGATATATTGGAAATACAAGACCATATATATAAAATAAATGAATATGATAAAATTAATTATCATGCTACTGTCTGGGTAAACTGTTTAAAATAAGTAAGGCATATTACTGATAATGAAATAAATTTGCACAGAGTTTGAGATTAGTTAAAAAATCTTAAAAACAATCTTTTACAAGCTGAAAAAACAATAGCTGAGTGTGATATAAAATTACAAGATACCTGAAATACTTTAGAAGATGCAAAAACCTTAAATAAAATATTACAAGAGGATCTTGCTAGAATAACAGAAAAGCTTCAATCACTTTCTGGTGGCTTATCTAATGAGAGAATTTCTATTAGAATATTACAAAAAGAATTCAATCGATCTATTAGGCATCATTACAATTTGAATGAGTAACTTGATGAGGATTTATCAGCCTTACTTGCTAGTATCTTATCTTTAATACAACCTCTGATAGTACTAGAAGAAAATTTATCTCGTCAAAAGATTCACCTATTATTAAAGAAAAAGTATAAGAAAACTTTTAAAGGTTATAGGACTTGTTAATACTGTAGAAAAAAAGGATTTAAGAATTAATATAAGTTATATATAGTGGAAGTCCTTCATCTTCTCCTGAAATGTTAAGTTCTTATTTAGAATTTGATAATGAGATTTTAGATGATTTAGAAGGTATTACAGATATTTTATCAGAAAAGAAAGATTCTATGCCTAATTTTCTATCCTATGATGAAAAAATAAGAGCTACTAATAATTGGCTAGAAAAGAAAAAAACCAGATTATTTTAAGAAATACTTATCTTATTTTTATTTCTCAATTTCAGATCCATAAGTCTAGGATAGCATGAGATTTATGGGTTAATATAAGGAGAGATAATCAACAATTATAATGATAAGAGGAGTCACAGATATTACGTAATATCATATAGGGGGGTCAGAAATGTCTTATGTAATACAAATTCCAAAAATGAAAATATGTAATACATAATATATCTACTTTCTATTAAACGATAAATGATAATGAGTTAGATAATACAAATGCCCTTCAAAATAAGAAAAAAAAGCTGATAAATAAAAGATTTTTTATTTCATTCAAATTTAACATTTCATTTTATGTAAAATATTAACTGTTTTATATAGGAGCAATACATATTAGATCTTATTATGTCTTGGGATTCTTGGGATGAGCAAAACACCTGTGGTTTGAAAGAAAAACACAAGTAGAAAAGTATTTATTACATTCAAGCTTTATATATTGTTTAATACTAATTGAAGAATAATACTCATTGTATTTCATTAATTTTGCTGAATCTAGGTATTATATAGTATGTATTGAATTCAAAAATGATTGATTTTGTCTTGAATTACAGGTAGAAGGAAGCCATTTGTTAGTTCAAAGAAAGAGGCAACTTCAGGAGCTCATTTTTGTGAACAGCATTCTAAATCTTCGCATTTTTGTATTTGTACAGTAGTGTATGTTTTTCAATCTAAGCTCACAGAACTGGCTTAGCAATTTCTTTAATATTTCTATTTTCTCTATCATGAGTTTTCTCATTATTGTTATTATCAATTCCTACACTTGCCTCAAAAATTATATCTGAAAAAGGAACTGGTCGCTCATTAACATATTCAGAATAGACAGGTTTACCAAAATTTTATCACGTCATCAAATAGTACACAAAGCTTCACCAGCATGTCGAAAATTTCATAGTCTAAGCTTTTGATTAACAACTTTTCCTTGAGTATCAAGATGTTTGCCAAATGTATCGATAGATAAAGAGATTTCTGCTAGTATTTTGGACAAGGTTGCTATAGATCTTTTAACAGGATTGAATGCAGATTGATTCAAGACATAAGTTCATATAGTTAGCACATGTCGGAAGAAGATCTATCAGGTGATCAATGATCACTTGATAGATCTTTATTTTTTCACTGAATCCAGTTTGAATGTAGTCCAATAGTACTATGTAAAATGTAACTGATTTTTGGAACACTTCAGGAAAATTTATGAAACCTTTCAGGTTGGAGCATTTTGGGTAAGTAGCAAGTAAGTTACAGTTAAGTTTCAGGAAGAACTGATATTAACCATTTTTAATATATGTGTAGTTTAAATTTTTATTAATAAAATATGCAATATACATTTTTTATTTAATATTATATAATAATAAAATATTACATGTTCAACTATTACAACCATTATACATTGTTATATTACTATACATTGTTCAATTATTGTATTACACTTGTTACATTCCATTGTTATAATTACTATTAATGTTATAAATTATTACAATAGATGCGTTCTATAATATAAAGACAAATAATTAATTATATAAAGTGAAATAAGTTATTAATAAATTTGTATAAAGTGAAATAAATGAACAAATAACTTACTATTCAATAATATGAAGTCAAATTGTTTTCTATAAAATATTTATGATAAAAGCATTCTATAATATAAAAACAAATAATTAATTATATAAGTGAAATAAATTATTAATAAACATATAACTACTTACTTTTCAGATTGAAATGAAGCTGAAATGGTCTACTTCAGAGCATTCAAAAGAGGTTTGAGTTATCTACATATAAATCATCATTGTATCACCTTTTTTTGCAACTTTTATGTTTTGAGTGTCTTTCCTATTGAATCTGTGTGTTGTAAAAAGAGCCAAACCTAATAAAGAATTTAGATTGATTTTAGTTATCGTATATGTTGAAAAGAGAAAAAATTAAAGAAAGATTAGGTTCTAAATATTCTGATTGAAGAGAGAGATGAAAATCAATAAAAATGATAAACAAAATACATTACAAACCTTCTGAGATCTCCATTCCTTATCATATACATGGATTACATAATTTGAACCTTTTTTTCAGAATAGTCGAATATTATTATCTCTCTCTTCTTGCGCTGGAGAATAAGATGATTAATACTTATTCCAGTAACATCAATGATTACACGCAATGAATGTAATACCTTTATCATCATCAGATTTGGAAACTTTATCTGAATAGTAGTCTGAGTTATTGATAATTCTCTTTAGAACATTAATCCAATCATCCTATTTCATCGAAGGTTGAAATTCAATTAGCATCAGATCGTTAGTATCTAACATTCGTTGTAATTCTCTTCATCATCGTTCCTTTTTTTTGTAATAAAAAAAATCACAAAATATTAGTACAAATATAATGTAAATCTATTAAATGCGCGAAACTATAAGTAAATATAAATTATATTCAGATAAAGTTATCCTTTTAGTATATAAAATTGTAGTAAAGTTAGTATAGAATTAATGACACATCATATTACATAAATTCTTGCAATTCTGGATTAGTCGTACTATTTGTTTCAAAGTCTAATAAAGTATTATAAATATAAAGATATTTGATACTTACATTTTGTCTTTTGCTATTCGTACCAGATCTTTGCTTATTTGTTTTGGACTTTTAAGGGTTTAAAGATACAATACATGTATCTCTTCTGTGACAGTGAAGGTTTTGTAAAACCTTCTTTAATTCTGTATCAGTATATTGAAATTTATCGCTAAGTGTTCTCTTTATGATCGATATTATATCTTGAATTACATGTACTTTGATGTCTATCTATCGTTATTCATGTTCTAATCTTAAGAAGCCATCCAAACTCTTTAAAATTTGAACGATGTTATTCTAAAATCAATAAAAATAGTTAAATAATTTATACGATCAAAAACTAAATAGTAATTATTGTTATACTAACCTGAAATTCATTTTTATAACTTTTATTCATAGGTTCTAAATTATTTCAGGTTTCTTTGGAATTCCTATTGGCTAAAGGATTAGGAGCTGAAGGATCAGGAGTTACGGAAGATATTCCTATTTGACTTTCATTTCTGTGTTGAAGTTCTTTTACTTCTTTTACCAAATCCAAAACAATCGAACGTAATTCAGCAATTTTTAATTTAATAATATGTAAGTTTATTATTAGTATTTATGTAAAACTTATTTTCTTATATACAATATCTTTTTTTCTTTGTATATTCACCTTCTTGACATCTAATTTTCTTACTTTCGCTCTTTCTATTTCTATAACCTTCATTTACATTTTTTTCTTTTCTTCTTTCTTATCGTTCTCTATTATCATTCCTTTTTAAAGAAGTAAAAATACGTGGAGTTTAGCTCCTACCTCTTTCATATAATAACATTTCAGGACTTTGACTTCTATTTCTTTTGTGTAATAATCTTTCATATTTATGTGAAGTTTGACTTCTATTTCTTTCATTTAATACCCTTTCATTTTCGTATGAAGTTTGACTTCTATTCCTTTCATTTAATATCCTTTCATTTTCACCTAAAGCTTGACTTCTATTTCTTAATCTTTCATTTTCAAATGGAATTTTTCTATACAATGAATTCTCTCTGAACAACCTATTTATACTTTGTATTGAACTTTCTTTACTTCAATAGGTAAAACCTCCTTTGGAATTTTGTACACTAATAAAACCATCGACATATTAAATATTAAATAAAATATATATAATAAAAATATATACAGTGAACTTTTGATATAATGAATTATTGGATCTAGATATCAACTTCATTATAAGCTTATAACGAATTTTTTAAAGAATTTAAATTGGCTAGTTCACTATAATAAGATAATTTTAATATATTTGATTTAAAAATTCGCTATTTCAAGGGTTCGCTATATCAAGCTTTGACTGTAATTACCTATATTTAGAATAGTTCATGATGTGATATGCAGCGTAAGAAAAAAAAAGCAATTATAATAGAATAATTGATAGTTATAAATATTTAAATAAACTTTAAGAATAGCTTAACCATATTTGGTAAAAAGGCATAAGACATTACTAATAAACTTTATTACTTAAACTCAATATAATCGATTTAACTAAAAGTTTATTAAATATATAAATATAACATATAATAAATCAGTTTTACTGCATTTAATAAAAATATGTTACTTATCTTGAGCCTTTTCAACTGTGAAATTTTGACTTTTTTTTATAAACAATAAGGAAAAAACATTTACACAAATTTAAACTAGCTTCTTGTTAAATTTTTCGTATAGAAAAAATTGTTATGGTGCAAAGCATCTATACTCATCAAAAGAGTCCGAAATTTTTTTGTCGATCTTCACGTGACTTAATCACGTGGA